GCTTGGGGGCCTCTTGGGGCAGTCTTGAACTGTCTTGGGCCGCCTGGACGCAATATCGTCCCGTCTTGGCGGCCTGAGGGCCGCCAGGAGGCCCTCTTGACCCATCTTGGCGATCTCTCGGAGCGCTCTCGGGGACCTCGTCATCCCATGGAGGCTGGGGATCCTTTGGTTATGAGCACTGGAACACCTTCCCCGCTATACGGGAGTATATTCTATATACAGTTCTAGGTCTACACACATTCATGTGCATACGTGTATATATGTAAATACATGTATATATGTACACACATGTATACGTACACTTACATGTATATCTATACATGTACATGCATGCATATAACGATATACAGATTTATATACATGTATATATATGTGTTTTTTACATATGATATGTACAGGTGGAAGCCCACATAGCGCTGTACCAGTTCAACTGCGAAAAAGGTGCCCAGCGGCAGAAAACAGAGGGACGACACGACATACTGGCGGCGAGCACGGCAGCGACGACGACGGACAACAACAGAACCTGTACACGAGTTTGACTCCACAGGGCCAGCGAGGCCCTGGTGAATGCAGTTTGCAGCAGGGTGTCCAAAGAGGAGGGAGAAGGATTCGCACAGAAGCGAAAAGAATGGGAGCAGGGCATCGGCGTTGTGAGGCAGCCCTTACGGCCCGACTGGCCATGAATATGAAACCCACAGCAAAGCCTGAAGGAGAAAGAGAGAGAGAGAGAGAGAGAGAAAGAGAGAGGCGAGGAGGAAGGAGCGAAACCACGGAGAGCGGGCAATGGCGCTGTGTCTGCGTGCGCACCTATCCCAATGTGGTCCAGTCGACCACTTCTACAATGAGGCATCACACAACGACTCACAAACGAAATACCTAGCTGGGGATACCATCGCCCAAAGGGGATAGGGATAAGTTAGACGATGCTAGGCCTGTCGGGGTCACGCGGTAGCGGCCCTCCGCAAGAATGGCACTTTTGGTGCGCGGCTGGCCGGTAGTTGCATGCGGTGCGGCAACCCCTGACCTCCTCGGTTGGGCAGCGACCCCTGGGAGGTCTTCGCAAGAGCGATCCGTTCAGCCCGATGAAAACAGCCCTTGAGCCGTATCAGGCAGGATTGAGCGGGGGATTAGGCCGAACCAGTGGGGACTCAGCCAGACTCAAGGAGATTATGCTGGATCAGGCTGGGTGTCGACCTCGGGTAACTATAGTACCAACGCCGATGCTGAATTCCGCCTCCCAAGAGCTGTATCCGAACCTCCGGTCATGAGCAACAGCAATGTTATGTTTGCTGTGTTCCGGCGGCGTCGCTCTGGAGGCCCTCTCGAATCTTGGGGCCATCACCAATCAAAATGGACCGAGGGTGAAAAGCCGGTGCCCAGGAAGGGGTCTTCACATGTCTAGGGGGCTGCCATGCACAGGCGCCGCGACGTCGAGTGTCTGGGGTGGCAGTCTGCGTGCTCTGGTTCGGCGCCGACCGAAAGCCGCGCACCAAAAGGCACTCCAGCGAAGGGCACCGCATACGTCTAGCGGAGCCAAACAGCGGACACCAACTACGGAAAATTCAAATCTTGACGTCGGCGTTGGCTTGTGACACCGCGTGGATCCTTCAATCGTGTGCGATCGCGATCAAGGCTTTCCTATGGCGTAAATCGTTAGATGCCGGTCGACTCCAGGCCACAAGCGGAGTTCAATCTTGAACGACCGCGCTGTGGAACCGCCGTATCCAATTGCACGGATGCTGGCGAGGCCCACCCTCTACCCCCCCGCGACCGATGGATGCGCCCTCGTGGCCTCACGGACGACTTCCACACGCCGTTCCCGGGCCCAAGGAAGCCCTGGCCAGGGACGGGCCGGGTGGCTCCGAAGTTCCGATGCTTTCGATGCGGGGCCCCCAGGAGGGAAAGAAACCTAAGACCATGATCAAGGCAGTACGCAGACCGTCGGTGCCGACCTTGGTCCCCGCCCATCTTGGTCACGGTCGCTTCGCGGATCATCCTCGCGAATCGACGACGGCATGATCCTGACCAAAAGCGGCGTCGACAAGATCCCGCGACATCTTGGGCATGGTCAGCGCGTTTCTTCCATCGACCCCCAATCCCTTTCCTTTGGCCGGCCTTGCGCCCCTGCCAGACCAGACCAACCAGACCAGGTAAGACAAGCCAAATGAACTACTCGATAAGCCATGAAAGACCCATCCAGATCAACCGTCCAAGGCCAGCCAAGCGAACTGAACAAACCAAACCGACCCGACAAGAGAAGGAACCTGCGCCGCTAAACCGAGGAGACCGACCATAACCCAGATCGAAGCCAGAAGCTCCCTGGGGCCCCGGCTGGGCCCCTGAGGCTGAGAGTTTGGACAAACGAAAGGGCCGAACAGACGCCACGGCGTCGGAGGTCCCTGCACCCAGGCCGCCGACCGATGGCGTGCGGTGCGTTGCAGCGGAGTCCCCGGAAGCCCAGCAACCTCCTCCCTGGGGCAGTCCTTTCCTCCTGGCTTGGTCTGGACGGTCACGGGGCACCGCAAGCGAGCCTCGGCCCAGAAGTCTCGACCCTGCACTCGACCTGTCGCTGCGCAGAGGGAGGCGGCGCGGGGGGGGCGGCCCTCGAAGAAGGCGGCGGGCTTTTCAGAAGGCATGGCGGGCTTCTTCGACGGCCCTCGGGGCTTCTGAGGAGCCTCTTCAGAAGCCCCGAGGGCCTCCCGAGAAGCCCCCCTGGCTTCTAGAAGCCGCCCCGTGCCTTCTGAGGAGCCCCCCTCCGCCTTGTCAGGAGGCCGCTCCCCTTGTGCGTGCCGCCGATTGACGTCCCGCGACGGCCGGCGCGACAGCCACCCGCGCCAGGCACGGAGGGCGGACGCGCAGAGCACGACGTACCACTGCAGCAGCGCCTCCTGCCGCAGCTGCCTGGCACACCGCGCCCCCGCCACCGCGCGCTGCCAGCGGCGCAGCCACCTCGCGGGCGGTCGTGATCGGGTGCTGCCAGAGGCAGAGGCCTCCCCACTGGAGCCCGAATAGGGGGGTGGGAGGACCGCGCCGCATGCCCGATGCATTGGCGATGCATCGGCGATGTCGGGGCGGAGGAAATCCGGCTCCACGTCGCACCGCATCGCCGAGGCATCGGCGACGCGGCGAGATCCTCCAACCCCATCTCCAGAGGGTCCCAAATGGAGCGAATAGCTGGGAACACATTGGGCCAGGGACCCGACGTGGGGGGGGTTCGAGGTCCCCACATGGACATCCAACGAAATTATATAACTGTCTCCCCTTTTCCAGCCTGTCGGGGCCCCCACCGGGCCCCCTGACCATCAAAACCTGGCGCCAAGGATGAGAAGCTGGTCCCTTGGGCACAGGGTCGGGACTTCCGGGAATCCCGCACTGGAAGAATCAGCACATCAGATCTCGGGGCACCTGGCTCCTATAGGCCAACTCGCTTCGCGCATGACGACCCGCGACGCGCGACGCGCGATTCTCTTCGCGCTCCCGCGAGGCTCCGCCGGGCGGCTCTCTGGCCCAAACCGACGTTTGCACTCGAGGCTCCGGGAGGCCCTCCGTCGCCGTGGGCCGGGTCCGCCTCGCGCCGCAGGCCACTCTCGGCCTCATGGGGGGTCCCTCGCCGGGCCGCGACGGGAACGTCACACAACGGCCAGGGGCACGAAGCTGGCCCCAGGGAAGGGGTCGAGGCCTCTGGGGGCCTCCTGGCACGAACGGAGACATACTGATACGATACTCCTTGGAGGCGCGCGTCCAACCCGAACACCTAGTATACCCATCCTGTAGTGTATCGTTTCCCGAGCGGCGTGGCCATAAAGCACCCCCCACGAAGCATATACTATAAGATTCCTCGGTGTGCGCGCGTCGCCCCTGGGGGGGCGCCGCACACATAATATAAGTATGTTGGGGTGACGCCGACCTCTGCCTCAGCGTGACCCAACTGGCGCTCGATTTTCTGTGCGAGCGCGCCCAAGTTTGCGCGTGAGCTCGCCCCGCTGGACCCAGGACGCAATTTAGCGCCGCGTGGCACCAGGAGCAGAAGAACTGGGTTGCGTGATGAGCGACCCTCCAAAACCACCCATGACTGCCACGGTTGGACACACATTCACAGCTCTCTGTCACTAGATTGTGATTTGTGAGCCACATTTTATCGCAGAGCGGGGGGTGCGGCAAGGGGCATGCCACTCCTTTACCAAAACCTTGCCTCGATGTGGCCGCCAGGATCAACGCGGCAACCTCCAAAACCGACCCGGAGATTTGGTTCGGCGTCGGATATCACGCAACGAGGAACTTGCAAACAGCTGCGCCATCCTCAGAGGACCGCGGCGGCCTCGGAATGCAGGCGCAAAGGCGGGGGCTCTTCTGACCCTTCCGCGCTTTTTTTGGCGCCACCCGCCGCCCTTCTGTCGGCAGGGCGGCGCTGCAGAGGACAAGCTTTGCCGCGGGCACGGCACTGCACAGGAAAGCGCCACCGTCGGCTACACGTCAGAGTGACCCCAGGCAAGGAGTATCGTTTATCCGATCCCCACTCCCAGCGGCGTGGCCTGGGCCCCACTGGCCGATTTACCCCCCTAAATGGGGATATAGGCCGTCCCCGTCGGGTTTCGAGGGTCGTGTCCCCATCTGGGGTGGTAATTTGGTGGGGGTCTCGAAGGGGATGAGGATGGGGATGGGGGTCGGATAAACGATACCGAGGCAAGAGAGGACTTTGGTGCGCGGCTTGTCGGCCGCGACAGTGGCGGCCTGCGTGCTTGGGCTCAGCCCCGCAGCGCCCCCCTGGAGCCGCACACACAAAAGGCCCCTCTGGTGAAGGGGCCACTCCTACGCGCAGCCGGTACTGGCCCCGCCTGGCGACTCGTGGCGGCTCGGCCGCCCTCTCGAAGGACCTTCGGAGGCCTTTCGGAGGTCGTGAGCCCTCCAGGGCTTCACAGAGCAACCCTAACACGCCGCGAGAAATGCTTGGGCGTGCGAGCATCACTGACGGATCCGCTGGGCACATGCTGATGACGCGCCTAACGATCTCCACCCTTTTGGAATGTCCGACGGATCGCCAACAACTTGGCCTTCTTCCGGAGCTTCACCTCCCCCTCGGGGCAGAGGTGGCAGAAGGCGCAGTCCTTAGAAGAACAACGGAAACTGCATAAGCATCATTCCTCGGAGGTCCGCGCGGATTTCTTACCAGGGGCGGCGCCGGAGGCACCGCCAGGTCGGGCCCAGCGCCGATCCAAGATACCCCGCGCGGACCTCAGAAAATGATACTGATGCCGATATGTTGTGCTCTTCCAGTCCTTGCCCATGTCGCACCCGCTGGGCTTGTAGTACCACGCGCAGGGCCTGACGAGCGCCGAACGTATCCACATCCACGCCCCCGCGGTGTGGATTCCGGGGCGCGCTCCCGCGGATACGCGGTCGCACGGATACGCTCCGCGCGGGGCATCCGAGAAAAGATGCCTCGCGTCCGCGGGGTCGCGGCCCAAAAAGGCCCGGCCCGCGAGGCCACGGATACAGACACCTGAACGGCCGAGAAGGGTACGGAAAAACGGGCACGATGCCCAACAGCAGATTGAGACCCAACTTCCTGAACCCACCACGGCCGCTGCTTGGCAGGCGGCCATCAATCTCAGATGGACGACGCCCGCGGTGGCACCGACAGCGAGCCCTGTTCAAAATGATCTGGGACCGCTGCCGCTCTTCTAGACTTAGGTCGGGCCTGTCCCCCTACAGGGGGATTTGAGGCGAAAAATCAGAAATAGTAAAAACATACATTGAAATAGTCATATATGGGAAAAAAACGTCCCCAGACTATTGTTTGACTATTTTTGAATATTCCCCCTGTAGAGGGACAGGCACGACTGAATTCTAGAGGGTCAAATCGCGGAATAAACATAACTTTTCGGAGCTCCGTGCGGATTTCTTGGATCGGCGCTGGGCCCTCCCTGGTGGCGCCTCTGGTGGCGCCCCTGGCGCGCTCCGCGCGCCAAGGACAGGGGCACCATGCCGATCCAAGATATCCGCGCGGATCTCTGAACATCTAAATTTATGCAGTGTCTGTTTCTTCGATCTTCACTTGCTCGCCCCCCTCTCTGTCAATCATAGCCGCGCGCGTCCCGCGGAGCTTTTAGCGGAAGAGGCTCGCTCTCGCCCTGCAGATCAAAAACTGTTTCTTCGATCTTCGTGCCCATTCTTTCCGTACACGTCTCGATCGCACCGGGGATCTGGCATTCGCCCGCGCGGGGCCTGCGAGGCCTCCTTGACCTACTTCTCTTCATCGACATCCTCGACCTCCCCGACTTCCTCCTCCTCCTCCTCGTCCCCCTCCTCCGCCTCCTCCTGAGATCCTCCTCCTCGGCATCCTCCTTCTCCTCTTGTGAGAACCTGCAGTTTACCCCAAGATCCTAGCGCCAGTGAGCGCCGCACAAGCTTGGTATCAAAGAGCCATTCGTGCTCGCCGGAGCGCATGCCGCGCCGACGCGCCTCAGACCGTATGGTTCCTTTCCTTGCTTTTCCTCCTCCTCCTCAGCCTCCTCCTCCTTTCCTCCTGCTCCTGCTCCTCCTCCTCCTCCTCCTCCTCCTTGCCTTTCCTCCTCCTCCTCCTCCTCCTCCTCCTCCTCCTCCTCCTCCACAGCCTCCTCCTCAGCCTCCTCGACGACCTGCTCTTCGCCCGCGCAGGGCCTGCACTCCCGCGTGCCGTGCAGCGCCGCGCCCGCGGACGGCGCGGGGGCGGGCCGCGCCCCGCCGCCCGCCTCGCGGCCCAGCTGGCCAGCGCCCGCCTGCGGCGGCAATGGGGAGGCCTCCGGGCTCCACCTGGGCGCACCGCTGGACTTCGGTCGGGCGTGTCCCCCTACAGGGGGACGTTGGACGAAGCATGAAATAAGGAACCGAACTCTTATTGTTGTTTTTGTTGTTTTTTAAGGTGCCAGCGCGAGCAGGCTGTCTACGGCAGGGCGAGGTAGGACGAAAGTGAAACGCGCTGCACTTCGCACGGGATCCTACAGGATCCCGTGCGAAATAAGGAACCGAACTCTATGCACTGACGCTTGTTTCCGGCCCCGCACCGGAACTCGCACAAGAAAGCGGATCCTGGTGTATGCGGGATTCCTGGTGCATGCATGTGTCGTTGTTTCGACTGGAAAACGGCGGAAAAAGTATTCACCACATCACCCCGACGTCGCCCCCGACCCTCAAAAATTCCTGGGATTGCAAAACAGCCCGCCACTGGCCACTGGTAACGTATATGCTCCAGTTTCCGATTAAACATACTCAAAAAATACTCCGAAACATGCTCGATAATAGTCAAAACATCGTCCCCAGACGATTTGTTCTACTATTCTTGAATGTCCCCCCTGTAGAGGGACAGGCCCGACTTAACGCTGGACCGAATCCTGGTCGAGGAGACTCATGGGCCGTGCGATACGCGGGAGGCATCTATACACCGCCACCGAGTCTGGCCAAAGCCGTCCTGGGCCCTTGCATGGTGTGTGCGCTTCCTGGCCGAGGCCAGGAGGGTCTACACAACATCGTGGGGCCCAGGATGACCCTCGCCAGGCACTGTCGTGGTGTATGGATGTCGAGTGCGGATGCGAGGAAGGACGCGAAAGCGGACTCCGGGAGGGTCGGAGCTACGCCACAAAATCCCTGCCACCTGCGAGCGGGCCTCCTGGGACGAGGCCCACAACGAGACTGGCCCTCGCGGGGCGCTGGCAAGTTGGACACCCGCCGAGCGCGCGATGTGCACATGGTACGAGCATGTGCTACATGTTCAGATGAAGACTACGGAGCACGACGCGCATCGGCAGCTTCGGCGATGCCGGACTTCCTCATTGGCGCCCGCATCGGAGGCAAACGCGCCCCTGGCTCGCGCGACCATGGCTCCATCCTGCGGTGGAAACTCGTGGGAGCCTCCCAAGCCATCTTGCTGGCTCTGGCGTGTCGACGCTGACCGATGCGAGTCGACGCGGACTGACGCGCACCGAAGCCAATCGGCGCTAGATCGCCACGGACTCGGCGCTTACTCTCCTTGAGGACCAGACGCTAGCGCCCGCGAATGCGCTCTAAAGAGACGGAGCTGCGAGGGCACACCAGGCTTCCATGCGATGCTACCGACCCCTCTCCTCGCTGGCGTGGCCTCGGCTCTACCTGGCCGACTTACCCCCTGAGATGGGGACATGGGCCGTTCCCTTCGGGTGTCGAGGGGGCTACCCCCAACTGACCAACGAACAACACACACCTATACCCACAGGGGGGTCGTTGGGAGGAGGACTGGCTATGGGCATGGGTGCGGGTTGCCGGACCCTGGGGAACGCTCCCGTTTGAACGGGGACCCCCATCCGAAAACACGCACCCATAGCCCTCTCCGACCCCCCTATGGGTATGGGTGTGAGTTGTTGGTTCGTCGCCAACTGGGGTCGTGGGATGGCGGGGCTGAACTACCGTGACGGTGGACACAAAGATAAACCTACGGTCAGGAACTCGTGCTTCGCGTGCCGCGGCGGCGGCCCCGGCGACACGCCGTGTGCCCTGCGAGCGGACACCGCGCCGCCCCGCTCCGCGTGCCCCGGGGGCCTCGACAGGCTCGGGCCGCGGACGCCCGGAGACCGGGGAAAGCGGGGCCGCGTGCCGCGCCGAGGCGTGATGGGCCGCAACGGGCCGAGCGGCACGCTGCCCAAGAGCTCCCGACCGCAGGTCGAGCGACACTCCGCACCTGGGCGCCGGCGCCGGCGGCTCCGCAGCGCGAGCCAGCCACGCGCCGCCCGGGGCTTGGGCGCACTCCGCCGCGGGCGGCAGGTGCCCTGGCGCGGGCTCCACGGGCGGCGGCGGGGGCTGGGCGAACTGCCAGGAGGGCCCCGGCATCTGAAGCCCAGCCTGGGCGACGAGAAGAGACGGGTCTCTCATGCACGACGGCATATGGCGACCTCAGGCCGCGGCCTGCGCGGGCCGCCAGCGTGGCGCACCGCGTGGAGACGAGGGCGCTTACGCGCGACCTTGCGCGGGAAACCTACGCGCGGGTGTCTTGGTAATCGACCCCGCTTTCTTCCACCGCTGACCTGGCCCTGGGCAGTGGAGAAGGACTGCTCGGGCAGAGCCGGCGCGCAGCCCCTGGCGGGGGCCGCGGCGAGCTGCTGCGTCGCCTCCACAAAGGGCACGAAGAACGCGGCCCCGTCCTGCAGGGCCGCCAGCGACTCGATCACCGCCTGCGAGGGCGCGGGCGGGACGTCTGACGCCATGGGCACGCGGAACGCCCGCATGGCGGCGGCCATTGGGCTGGGCGTGGCCGGCCACAGGACGGAAGGCGTCGGCGGCACCGCTGGCTCCCCCTCCAAGCTCCACATGCTGTTGACCATCAGCGCTGGGGGCGAGTACATCAGGGACGAGGCCAGCTTGCAGCCAGCGTCGCTGGCCCGCGCCGACAGGAACTGGGCGTCCGGGGACTTCAGCGCGGCGGGGCGTCGGCAAGGCCATGCGGGCGCCCGCGGCGCTGGCGGGGTTGCGCTCGTAGCGGCCATGGGTGGCAGTGTGTCTCGCTGGGCTTGGTGGCAGGTTCTCTCGCTGAGAAGCGTGGAGCTGGGAACGCCTGGCTACCTGTCTGCAGGCTCGAGCCAAAAGAAGGACTGCGCTGGGTTTGATAACTCAGGCCCGGACGGGAACCCACTGCGGGCGCCCCATGTCAGAGTGAGGGGCCGAACGTAGAGGGCAGAAAACCCACCCCAATAATTCGCCGGCCCAACGGGCCAGAGGCGTGCTAAGGTCCCCGGTGACTACTTAACAATATTTCTAGTTCGCGCGCGCGGGGCGGCCCCTGGGGGCCCCCGGACGAAAAGTACCCCGGCCGATCCCCGGCCGGGTCCCGGGCGATCCTCAGGGGGGAAGCTATTTTTCGCCACCCCTCACGAGGATCGTGGCCTCCGAGAGGTGGCTGCAATCGACTACCCCCCCTCCCGCCCCAAGGGGCCCCCAAAAGCCCCCTATAAGAGACCCCAGGGGAGCCCAAGACGCCGCCAAGGAGCCCCAAGACGCATCCAAGAAGTCCCCAAGAGGCCCCCAAGACGGCCTCAAGAGGCCCCAAATAGCGCTCCAGGGCCGGCGGAATAAGCGAAGCAATTCAATAACAACCCCGACACGCGAAGCCGCTTAATAAACGCACCCAAACAAAGGAATCAAACAGGGCAAGGCTGTTTAGTAAAGCCCAGGGCAGTTTAAACGCCAATTGTCCAGTCCGGCTGGTTTTTCCTCCCTTGAAAACGGTCATTCATTGTCCGTGGGTGCGTGGCTGAACTGGGGATCGGTGGTGAGGATTCCGCGTGTTGCGTTGTTGTTGATGTTGTTGTTGTTGCTGTTGTTGTTGTTGTCGTTGGTGTTGTTGTTGTTGTTGATGTTGTTGTTGTTGTTGATGTTGTTGTTGTTGAATATTATTACTTCTAAAGAATAATTATTGTTGGGGCCCCTGGTGCATGGCCCCCCCGCCGCGCCTAGGCCGCAGCCTCATTTTCATTATTTTCGTGAGGAAATCTCAGGCAAAACGATGTCATCCAGATCCGGTTGTGTTGTTACGATCGGTTTTCCCTTGCAAAAAATAAGGCAAAGTGGACATTTCTTGTTCTAACATAACCAAACTTCAAGAATCCCTTGCAACAAATAAGGTAAAGTGGACATTCGCGCGCGCAAGACGAAATCCTTCCAAAACCTTAGTGTTCGTAGCGATTTTAACATAAAAACATCAAAAAACCAATGGTTTTTCAAACAAAAAAATGTCAAAATTTCATCCCGCGCGCTCTTGCGGATTTGTAGGAAACCCAACACTTTTTAAACATTTCTGTCAAACGGGCTTTTGCGAGCAACTTTTTCGAACTTCTGCAACAACGGTTGCGCACCTGCCAGGGCCATCATCCCTGTCAAATAATACCATGCGGGACACATTCGTTTTTTCTTCGCGCGCGCACGCCGTCGTCGTCGGCCGCGGGGCCCTGAATAGTAGCCACGGTCGTCCGCATGCCACGAAGTGAAGTGTCCGAACGTCATAGGGCGGGAAGCTGGGTGTGGGTGGTGGCGAAGAGTCGTTTGGAAATTTGGTAGAGCTTGAACCGGCCCCCCCACAAAGTGGGGGTATTGCCCGCCTCCTATGAAAACCCTGGCACTGGTGAGAACGGAGTGTCCCCACGTGCTAGTAATTGTTGAACATTATTAATTCTAAAGAATAATTATTGTTGGGCCCCCTGGTGCGCGCCCCCCCCGCCGCGCCTAGGCCGCAGCCACGTTTTCATCATTTTCGTGAGGAAGCCTCAGGTAATTCGAGGTGATCAAGATCCGGTTGTTTTGTTGTAATCCGCTTTCCCTTGCAAAAAACACTATAAAATGAAATTTCTTGTTCAAATATAATCAAATTTCAAGAATCCCTTGTAAAAAATAAGGTAAAGTGGACATTCGCGCGCGCAAGACGAAATCCTTCCAAAAGCTTAGTGTTCGGAGCGATTTCAACATAAAAACATCAAAAAACCAATGGTTTTTCAACAAAAAAATGTCAAAATCTCATCCCGCGCGCTCTTGCGGATTCGTAGGAAACCCAACACTTTTTAACATTTCTGTCAAACGGGCTTTTGCGAGCAACTTTTTCGAACTTCTGCGACAACGGTTGCGCACCTGCCAGGGCCATCATCCCTGTCAAATAATACCATGCGGGACACATTCGTTTTTTCTTCGCGCGCGCACGCCGAAATCTCCAAAAACCATTGGGTTCCAAGTTCTGTGGGTGTGTACCCCACGCCAGTGTAGTAGCCACGGTCGTCCGCACGCCACGAAGTGAAGTGTCCCAACGTCATAGGGCGGGAAGCTGGGTTTGGGTGGTCGCGAAGAGTCGTTTGGATATTTGGTAGAGCTTGTAATGCCCCCCCACGAAGTGGGGGTATTGCCTGGTGTCGTATGAAAACCCTGGCACTGGGGAGAACACCACGCGTTCGGGTAAAATGATTGTTGTTGTTGTTGTTGTTGTTGTTGTTGTTGTTGTTGTTGTTGAACTCATTTCTGAAAAAAATATGTATTGTTGATCCCCCCCGTCCGGTGCACATTGTTTTTTCAATTAAAGTGCCCTTCCCGGGGCTCACACCCTGTTTATTATCACGGAAAGTCTTGAGGGTCTAACTGTGTCATTGGCCCCCGGTTTACAACAACAACGGCTCCCGCCTGATACTTCCCCGCAATTTGTTAAAGAATCGCGCTCTCGCGTAGGACTTCCTTGCAGTTTACCGCCGGATCGCGGCTCCCGTTTGATACTTCCTCACCATTGATTGAAGAATCGCGCTCTCGCTTGGGACTTCCTCGCAACTTACCACCGAATCGCAGCTCCCGCCTGATATTTCCTCACAATTTATTCCGATGCCGTTCCACGACACTTAGGAATCGCGCTCCCGCTACGTATTGCCTGGCGGTTCAAGTAACATTTACGCTTCAACGACCCGCCCGCTCGACCCGCCCGTCTGGGCCTGCCCGCCCGACCAGCCCGTTAGGGACTGCAGTCGCCGCTCGCTGCCCTTCGCAGGCATTCGATGACCCTCGCTGCCCGTACTGGTTCCGCGGTCGCCTTCGCTCGCTGCCCTTCGTGGCCCCGTTGCTGCCCTCAGCGGCCCCGTCGCTGCCCATTGTGGCCCCGCATTCTATGCCCTTCGTGGCCCCCGCTCGCAGTCGCCCGTCGTGGCCCCATACGCATGCCCTTCGTAGCCCCACTGTCGCCCTTCGTGGCCCTCTCGCTGCCCTTCGTGACCCCTTTGCTGCCCTCAGTGGCCCCGCTGTCGCTCCCTCGCGGGCCGTCTGGGAGGTCTTGGGCGCCGGTCTGAGAGCCCAACATAAGCCGAGTCCTTCGGCTCATTTTTGTGATTTGAACCGTCTGGCCGCATCAGCGCCTGAGACGGCTGAACAACCCTCCAAGACCAGCCGCAAGCCTCCCCCAGAGGAGCCCAAGAAGCCCCCCAAGACAGCCCAAAGATCTGCCCAAACAGCGCGCCACTGTCGCACCGCTGAAAACCAACACCGCCAACATTCTCCGAAGATGCCCAAGCGGCCTAAAAGAGGCCCCCCAAAGGCCCCAGGGCGCACCCAGCCACAAGGACCCCCAGAAGCCCCGCAGTAAGACCCCCACGATCAACCCACCTGTCCCCAAGGCCTCTGGGGCACAACCCAAGCGCAATGGTGGGTTGGGCCGAAAGCAATTCGATGTTCGCCCTCCGCCTATGTGCGCCCAACCTAGTCACTTCCCAAGGTCGGCAGAACCGGCCGTCAGGCCTTCGCAAGAAGACGGTCTGCTAGTGGTTGCGCCGCAGGTGGCGCCCGCGGCCGCCGAAAACCAAAAAACATGTTGACGGGTGCGACCAATCAATCAAATAGTGCACTTCGTAAAAATTGAACCCGCCGGAACCGCGATTCGGGGAACGCTTCTCCTATTGCATGGGCGCAGTGTTTGGCATTGCTTGGCATAGATTGGCAATGCTTGGGGGCACTATTGTATGAACGCAGTGCTTGGCATTGCTGGGCACTGCTTGGCATTGCTTGTGGGCATTGCTTAGCATTGCTTGGCGTGATTTGGCATTGCTTGGTTTTGCTTAGCATTGCTTGGCATTGCTTGGCATTGCCGGGCGTTGCTTGGCATTGCTTGGGGCACCGGAGGAGGAACTCGAGGAACCAAAGGAAACCGAGGAAACTGGGGAACCCAAAGAACCCGAGAAACCCAAAGAAACTGAGGAAACCCGGGGAAACAGAGGAACCCAGGGAACCTCCGAGGAACCCTGGGAACCCGAGGAACCCAAGGAACCCGAGGAACCCGAAGAACCCCGGGAACCCCGGGAACCCGAGGAACCCGAGGAACCCTGGGAGCCTGAGGAACCTCCGAGGAACGGGCAAAGTAGCCACCCGAGGCACCAACCTTTATCCAACTAAGAGCCCGTTAGGCAATCCTGAATGGGGAACCATCGTCGTGATGCACTTGAAAACGACTCGAATTATGAGACCAGCTTCAAGTACAAGCTGCAATCTTCCAGTCTAAGCTTCCAGGCACATATTTCAATCTATGTGCGTGTCAACCATTGAGCGGCAAGCCTCAACATTCGATTGGGCTGCGCTCTGGAATGGCATCTTGGAATGTCGGGCGGTTCGCGAAGGCCCTGTCCAAAAAACACTAGACAAAACGTGACTGTTCGGTTGAGCGCCTCCGCTTACGTCGGTCCCCACTTCAAGCGGCAGCCGTGGGCAGATGTATATGGGCGTCTGCTCCAAGTCTGGTCCACAGGGGTGGGGTCCTGTTTCGCAGCGTGGCCTCGCAATCCGACTCGGCAGGGATACTTTGGCTGGATGCCCACATGGCCGTGTCAGCCTAAGTGAACCGCATGCCGCGGATAATAAAGGTGAGCATATCCACGGGGTGTATGTGGGTTCAAATTTCCACTAGAGGCGCGGGGGGGCGAACTTTGGGCGAAATGCAGAATCACCCCCAGAGTTCGCATCGTCGCTCTGATCTTCGTAT